GCCACCTTAGGTGTATGTGGCTGGTGCCTTAGCTGCTTGAGCCCCAGGCGCCAAGCCCCAGGCCACTTCTGGTTTTGGTGCCCTGCCTGTGCTGTTCTCCCCTTCCCGCATGGCCCCTCCCCAACTGGAAGAGCACTTGCTATAGTGACTAGGACTCTCTGTGTTGTAGGTGGCAGATGCCTTTGTGTTCCTTGCTGACCTGCCTGGGCCTCAACGTCTTGTTCCTCACTTTGAATGAGGGTAAGAATTGCTTGCAGGGCAGTGAATGGGTGTGGGGGGAGAGCACCAAGGCTCTTCCCTGCCGGAGGGAGCTGTTCATTTGGCCCTGGAGTAGACCTCCCTGTGTCTGTTTGGTATCAGGAAACAGGCTCCAGAGATGTCCAGGCTGAGCTGCCTGGTATGACTTGGGCAAAGTATTGAACCTCTCTGCTAAGGCCTAATTTTCTTCATCTCTAAAGAGAGGTTAATAATGGTACTTTCCTCCTAGAGTATTTGTGAGGAATGAGATAGTCTAACACTTGGCATGGTGCCTGACACAGAATAAGTAGCTGACATATAAAGCTGCTATCTTTGTTATTATTGCTTCCATCTTGACTGCTAATACATTGACCTTTTTCCATTCTGGTTTCCAAACTAATTCAGGAGTCATTATTATGATTCAGGAATCATTTGGGGACATGACATGGGGTAAGGGTACTAGGATGAGCTGATCAGGATCTTTGCCATATCTGTTGATTTCCTCCGGTTCAGCAAACAAGCCTGGTAGGACTACTGGGCAGTTAGCAGCAAGCAGTGAGGACTGGGACAAAGGCTTTGAGGTGGAAATGTGGTCAGGTGGGTGTCTGTGGGGCTATTTGCCAGTAGGATCTCCTGTAGACCCTCTATTATAGTATATGCTGTGACCCAGACCTTACTGTGGTTGGAACTGGCAGATAAGCTATAGAAAAAGCCAACACTCTCAGGGAAAATGAGTGAAGGGTCTGGGACAGAATGTTCTGAGAATCTAGTCCTTTACTCATGTATTCTAATATTGAGCTCATTTCTTAAGGGTCTCCTTTGTTTCTTCTGGAGATAAGGATTCAGTGGGTTGAAAATAAACTCATATCACACAAGATCTCATTCTCTGTTACTTAGTTGGACTCCTCTTTGCCTGATCAAAACTTCCCAGGGTATTAGATTTTTTGGAATATGTTTCTAGAGTAAATCATATGTTCGTATGACAGATATTTAATAAGCATTTATTATGGGCTTGCTATTGGGGTTTCATGTTACACGGAAGAAGTTCCTTCTTTGAATTTTATCTCAACCTCATCATTTCTCAAGCCACATTGGTCTGTAGTATCTTTTTTTTAATTGAGACAGAGTCTCACTTTGTCACCCTTGGTAGAGTGCTATGGCGTCATAGCTCACAGCAACCTCAAACTCTAGGGCTCAAGTGATTCTCTTGGTTCAGCCTCCCAAGTAGCTGGGACTATAGGTGCCTGCTACAACCACCAGCTGTTTTATTTATATTTTTTTGTTTAGCATGCCCGGACTGGGTTTGAACCCACCAGCCCTGGAGCATGTGTCTGGAGCCGTACCTACTGAGCTACAGGTGCCCAGCCATGGTCTGTGGTATCTTAAAAGCCAAAGGAAAGGCTTCCAGTCTGCCTTAGTGGCCAGTCATCAGGAGCTCCCAGCAGTCAGGCCCCCCACCATTAGCTGCCTATGTGATGTGCTAGCTGAGACAAAGTCCCAGCTTTCAAGAGTCTGCTTAGATCAGTAGAGGAGACAATGGACATGCCCATGATCTGTCATGTGATGAACAAATGCAGCTGGATTGAGGGGGCTGGAGAGTGGGCGTGAGATCCTATGTCACACAGGGAGCAGGGAAAGCCTTCAGGTGGTGGGCACGTGGGTGTGCAGGCTCCTGGACCTTGCCTGCCTGAGTCACCTGCAATGTTCTTGGTCCCTGCAGGGGCATGGTGCTCAGTAGGAGCCCTGGTGATTTCGGTACCCGCCCTGCTGGGCTACCTTCAGGAGGTTTGCCGGGCACGGCTGCCCGAGTTGGAGCTGATGCGGAGGAAGTATCACAGCGTGAGGCAGGAGGACCTGCAGAAAGTTCGCATGTCTCGCCCTGAGGCTGTGGCTGAGGTGAAAAGCTTGTAAGTATGGAAGGGAGACCAGGGAAGGAGAGGAACAAACCTGTTAGTTATAACAGTCAGAGTGGCCACCACACTAACTACTTGCTGTGTGTGCCAGACATTGTATTAGGCAAACCACAGATGTTACTTTATTGGTTCATATATTTACATGTCTTTTTATTGGTTCCTCCATTTTTGGATGGAGGAGAAGGCTTACATAGCTAGAAAGTGACCAAGCTGGGATGAGAATCCAGTTCTAGCTTATTTCATAGTTTGTATTCTTTCCAGGAGAGAGGTGGTTTAGGGTCTTGACTAAGCACATGCATGTATGAACCAACACCTAGTTCCAGTCCTGGCCCTTCTGTTTACTTGCTGTATAACATTGGGCAAGTTCCTTAGCCCCCTGTGCCTTAGGTTCTTCATCTGTTAAATGGGATGATGATAGTGCTTACTCATAGGGTCAGTGTGAAGAGGAATGAGTGTCTGGTACCCAGGAGTGTTCAGTAAACATAGTCATCATCACTGTGGAGTAACTTCCTAACTATGACAGTACTTTATAGAGGAAGCATTTGAAGACTGTTGGATAATTAACTGTAACAGCTGCAGTGCCAGTGGGCATTTACTCATCCCTTCCCTGGACCAGGCTCTGTGTAGAAATAAGAAAAGTTATAAACAGATACCTGGATCTTGCCTCAGAAATTCTGAGTCAGTTTTCCAGAGTGGGGCCTGGCTATCTGTTTTTTTTAAGACTTCTTTGGCTTGGCGTCCATAGCTCCGTGAGTAAGGATGCCAGCCACATACACCAAAGCTGGCAGGTTCGAGCCTAGCCCGGGCCTGCTAAACAACAATGACAACTGCAACCAAAAAATAGCTGACTGTTGTAGTGGGCTCATGGGCTCCTGTAATCCTAGCTACTTGGGAGGCTGAGGCAAGAGAATCACTTAAGCTCAAGAGTTTGAGGTTGCTGTGAGCTGTGATGCCACGGCACTCTACCGAGGGTGACAAAGTAAGACTCTGTCTCAAAAAAAAGACTTTTTAATGTTGAAATAATTTTAAACTTAAAGAAACATTGCAAGGAGAACAACTATGTGAGTTCGTATTTGCCCAGGCAAAACAGTTATTCAGATTTTGCCACATTGGCTTTATCTGTCTCACCATATGTATACATTATTTTCTTTTTCTTGAATCATTTGAAATATCATCCCTGTTTACCCCAAATACTTCAGCATGTGTTTCCTAAGAACAAGGCTAGTGTGTTATCATAGCTCACTGCAACCTAAAGCTTCTGACCCTCCTTCCTCAGTTTCCTAGGACAATGGTCATGCACTACCATACCCAGCTAATTCTAAAATATATATATATATATATATATTTTTTTTTTTTTTTTAAGAGACAGAGTCTTACTTTATTGTCCTTGGTAGAGTGCTGTGGCCTCACAGCTCACACCAACCTCCAGGTCTTGGGCTTAGGTGATTCTCTTGCCTCAGCCTCCTGAGTAGGTGGGACTACAGGTGCCGGCCACAACACCCGGCTACTTTGTTGTTGTTGCAATTTGGCCAGGGCTGGGTTCGAACTCACCACCCTCGGTATATGGGACCGGCGCCCTACTCACTGACCCACAGGCACTGCCCTAATTCTAAAATATTTTTATGGAAATGAGTTCTTGCCGTTGCCTAGGCTGGTCTTGAACTCCTGGGCTCAAGCAGTCCTCCTGTCTTGGCCAACCAAAGTGTTAGGATTACAGGTGTGAGCCACTGTGCCTGGCTACAAAGCTGATTTTCTAATTATTCCATCTACATTTTTCAACTGGCCTACCGTAAGAAAGCTTTTTCTTATTTCTTTATTATTAGTATGAACTCATAGATTTTTATTCAATGAGTCATAATCTGTTATTGTCATTATTTATTTTGATCTCAAAGTTTTAGCCAATAGGACCTCTTTTTGAGCTGGCTCCTGTGTTCTTTGCAAATAATTTTTTTTTCCCAGAAATTATGTCTCACTGTATTTCCCAGGCTGTTCTTGAACTCCTGGGTTCAAGGAATCTTTTTGCCTCCCAAGCAGCTAGGATTATAGGTGTGCACCATGTGTAGCCCCATTCATTTTTGAGTACTCCCTTGCTTTATAGTACAACAAGATGTTCAAATTCATCTTACACTTCCCTGTATCAGCCCTAGAATCAGCCTTTTCTCCAGGGAGCCTTCAGAAACCCGAATCTGGGTGCAGAATGTGGTCATGGCTTCTGGGGTGTATCCATGTTTAAAAATAACAACTATTGGCAGTGCCTATGGCTCAAGGAGTAGGGCGTTGGCCCCATATACCGGAGGTGGCGGGTTCAAACCTGGCCCTGGCCGTAAAACTGCCAAAAAAAATAAAAACAAAAATAAAAAACTACTCCCTGAGTGACTGTGTCACGTTCCAGGTGGAGAAACATTGATTTACATCCTGCTATTTATCCTCCTAGTTGCTATGTACCTGTGATGTGGGTAGGCTGTTCCTCATTTTATAGTGAGGAAACTGCAACCCTGGAAAAGTTAAGTAGCCTGCCTGACATCAACAGCTAGGAAGAGACCAAAGCAGGAAGCTGTTTCCATCTCAGCAAGGGGCTTTGAAAAGGGGACTGAAATGTACCTCCGGTGGGGATTGGCCAGGCTCTCTTCTCCCAAGCTCTCTCCAGTGTGCTCTAGTGTGTTTGAGGAGATTCCCAGGCTCTGCATCTCTAGGGCTAATGTCCAGCCCTGCAGGCGGGTGGGGCAGGGCCTGCCTACTTACCCAAGCCTCTCTGTCTGCAGCTTGATCCAGCTGGAGGCCTTCCTGAGTCGCCTGTGCTGTACCTGCGAAGCAGCCTACCGGGTGCTGCATTGGGAGAACCCTGTCGTGTCCTCACAGTGAGTGGCCCCTCCTCCCCCACTACTGTCGGAATTGGCAGCTTAAGTCTGAGCAAAGCAGCCACCTAGAGAGGGCCTTTGTCCCCCAGGGGAAGAGCACTGCCTGGGCTCTTGTGTGTAGATCTGCTGCACATAGGCTTGTGGGCTCTAGTGCACTTTTATTTAGATACTTTCTTTTATGTGTGATAAAAACATTTTAATAAACAGAACAATAACTCACCATGTACTGTCAGGATATAGCAGCTGATCTCATGTTTGGCTTGCCTTTTAGAGTTTGTCATATGTATATACTTTATAGAGACACAGCTTCATAGGGTATGTTAGGTTTTTCTTTTGTTTTTTATATAAATGGTTTCCTTTGCACGTAGGCTTTGGAGTTATTTGTAATACCAGGTTAATATAAATGCTGAATATATTATAATTTATGGAAACATTGTGTTATATAATTAGTCATTTTCTACTTTTTATTACTATCCCTGTGGCGAACATTTTCATGGATTTAGCTTTACTCTTCTGAAATTTTTTTCTTATAAATTCAAGGATGAAACTACTGCAATAGAAGGAGTGAATGTTTTTGAGGTTCTTATATATGAATGATAATGATAACTAATACCTACTGAGTCTCCCCCTGTGCCAGGCACTGTGCTCGTCACTCTCTGTGTATTCCCTCACTCTTCATCTCTGCTAGATAGACACTACTTAATCCCCATTTTATGTGTGAAGGGATAATGCCCAGAGAGCCAAGAGACGTCAAAGAATCTCCAAATGGAAAGAGGCAGAGCTGGATTCCAACATGCCTGTCTTATTCTAGACTTCAGAGTCTAGATCCTGGGGAGTAATGATTGCTGAACCAGTTTATGTGCCCCCAGCCTCAGATGCTGCTGTAGCCTCACCAGTGTCATTGTCAGCAGCCAGCCACTTGTGGGTAGTTCTCAGCCTTTTCTGGTCATTACTTTCCACTGGTTTGATTAGCATGTCTTGTTTATTAACTGTGCCCAGAGCTACGTATATCTCTTACTTAAACCTTGGGCATGTGGGTGTGGTCCAAACCAGTTT